CTGCTACCTTTCCTTTTTTTGTGATTTGTATTATTTGTTGTATGTATAGTGTTTGTTTTGTTTTTAAATGAAAATACATTTACTAAATTAAACTAAAATAAAATAAACTAAACTAAGTTTAATTTTTATTTTTATTGAGCCACTAAATGCTTTAGTTTTTTTAATGAGTGCTTGCTGAGTTGATTTTAATGTACTGAATTGCATGAAGTCTGAAAAGAGGAAAGAATGACAAAATATTTTATAACAACGCAGTTTAGTATAAGCCTACAGTACTTTTTGCCTCTCCCTGCTCTGTCATTACTTTTTTTCTTTGAATTGATGTATTTTTATTGTTAAACTAAACTAAACTAAACTAAGCATGGATGCTGAGATTGAATAAAAATGTCTGTATGAAATACTGTCTTTGTTTTCCCAGGTTTCTGGAACATTTCATCCTGAATGGTCCAGACCCGAAGGTTTTGGAGGTGGTTCTGACTCAGCTCAGCGACCTGAACAGGAAACAGCCTCAGGATCTAGACAGAGCAGTCACTGGTGTGTGCACTCTGCAGCACTGTTGCTTCACTCCTGCTGGAGTTGTGAAAGCTTCTTGTAGTTACGTGGACTTGTAGTGCTACGTTTCATTATGTGAAAATGAAAGATTTGTGTTAGATGGTTTTGGGGTCTTCTCTTATATTRGACTCACTTTATTTTGCTTTGTGTTGGATTTCAGGGCACATTCATCAGGTGAAGGAGAATTTATCAAGGTCTCCTCAGGAATTAATCCCCACCGTGTTTCCGAACACCTGAGGTAAATTTAACCAAGCTCCTTCTAAAACTCCTCACTAAAGCACGACTTTATTGACCAAGTGATGCTGATGTTGATTTAGGTTTACCAGGTGCGTTCCAGGCAGCGCTGCARGGAGTCCTGACGGCCAGACATTTTGAGACGGCCATCAGGGACACCATGAGCTGTGGGGGATGCACCTGCAGCAGAGCYTCCTTCATTGGAGCATGTCTTGGAGCGCAGGTCTGACTCTCATAATGTGTCATCATGTTCAACCAGTGTCCCAGCACTTTGATCATACTGTCTGTGATTCTAGATTGGGCTGGAGGGAATTCCAGCATCTTGGATCAGCAGAACTCTGCGACTCAACTCGGTGCTGGAACATGGCAAGAGGATTACCGAGCACCACCCGTAATCAGACTGAAGACAGGAACGTCCTGAACAACTGTTGTGCTTTAGCAGGGCTGTGAATGAAGGCTTTTGTCTAAATGTATGAATGACAGAAGCCAGATGTTTTTGATTCTGTTAAAGTTAGACATGTTGCTTCAGATGTACGCTGACTTTTGTGTTTTTCCACCACATTAATCATCAACAAATTGCATTCCTTCTGCTTCTTCTTGTTTCAGCTTTTCTCTTTTCAGGGGTCGCCACAACGTGTCATCCTGCTCCACCTCACTCTGTCCTTTGAATTTACTTTACAATAATTACAGGAAATCTGTGATTCCCTTCTGACTCTTTTTGATTACCTGTAAAATATCATTCAGCATTTTAAAATGACACCTTGGACTTCATAAGTATTGTTTTACATCTACATTAACACAACATACCTTGAGTGTCAGGCTGGAATCATTAAAAAAATACTCATAATTTTCAGTTTGGTGTCATTTCTTTTTGATTTTTGGTTGATTATAGTATTTTATAGTTATGTGTAGGGCCCATAAAAACACATTACCTTCAAACATCCAATTACATTTTGTTAAAAGAGAGAGTTGTTATAATCTGAAGAGGATAAAAAAGTTTGTGAGACCCAAAGTTAGAACCAGTTTGAGGGAACAGAGTTCTTCAGTCCAGGGAATTAAATTATGGAATAATCTGGAAGATGACGTTAAAAATGCCAGATCAATGTTTATATTTAAGAGAATGATCTAGGTTAATTTGTTGGAGAAATATGTATGGGTATAATATAGGAATTGTTTCTCAAGAAAGAATTTAACTTGTTTTTCTTTTTTGTTTTTGCAAATTGAAGATTATTTTTGATTGAATTTATTTATTTGAGAAAAAGGGGCAGAAATAAGATTTTTTTTCTTCTGCTACCTTTCATTTAATTTATGATTTTTTTATTGTACATGTATATTGAATTTATGTTGTTTTGTTTTAAATGATTAAACTTTTTAAATAAAAGACATTCTAATTGCTGATATTCCTGTTGGCAAATAGACCAAAAACCATTTTTTAATTCCAAAAGTCTCTTTTTTTACATGCTTTACATTTTTTGTGTTTTAGAGCAGTGGTTCCCAAACTTTTTATCTTCTGACCCACAAAATATTCATGGCAAAAACTTGTGACCCCGAATATTACTGTTCTGAGTACACGAACTTTGTTAATAACCCTAAAATACAGGCTTTTTGACAATCTAAACAGCTTGTACACAAATATATCCATCCATCCATCCATCCATCCATCCATTTTCTTCCGCCTATTCGGGGTCGGGTCGCGGGGGCAGCAGCTTCAGAAGGGAGGCCCAGACCTCCCTCTCCCCAGCCACTTCTTCCAGCTCCTCCGGGGGAACTCCAAGGCGTTCCCAGGCCAGCCGAGAGACATAGTCCCTCCAGCGTGTCCTGGGTCTTCCTCGGGGCCTCCTCCCGGTGGGACGTGCCCGGAATACCTCACCAGGGAGGCGTCCAGAAGGCATCCTTACCAGATGGCCAAGCCACCTCAACTGGCTCCTCTCGATGTGGAGGAGCAGCGGCTCTACTCTGAGTCCCTCCCGGATGACCGAGCTTCTCACCCTATCTCTAAGGGAGAGCCCAGCAACCCTGCGGAGGAAACTCATTTCGGCCGCTTGTATCCGGGACCTCGTTCTTTCGGTCATGACCCAAAGCTCATGACCATAGATGAGGGTAGGAACGTAGATCGACCGGTAAATCGAGAGCTTCGCTTTCTGACTCAGCTCTCTCTTCACCACGACGGACCGGTACAGCGCCCGCTTTACAGCAGATGCTAAAATACAGGCTTTTTGACAATCTAAACAGCTTGTACACAAATATAAATACTTATTTATACTGATTTTGGGTTTTTGTAATAGTTATAGAGAAAATACTACATCAGCAATTATTTTATTACCCTTTAAATTGATTTCTGGAGATTATCCAATGTGCTTCATGACCCATTATTGGGTCCCAAGCAACTTTGGGAACCAAAGTGCAATGGTTCCCAAACTTTTCAGCTTTTGACCCACAAAATAACAGTAGCAGAGACCTGTGCCCCCAGCTATTTTTGGATGATAAACATTTGTATCAGGTCAACAAAACATGGTCATAGTAACAACATTTTTATACTACATTTATCCATTTTAAATATACTAATCTCACTCCTTTGTAACAACTAAGGCAAAAATGTAATTAATTCCGAAAATCTTTTTCAGGACCCCACCTTGATGTTTCGGGACCCCTCTTTGGGTCCCGACCCCAACRTTGGGAAACACTGTTTTAGATTACACCTAACCTGAGGGGATTTTAGGTTTAAGTTTAGTGTGTTAGATGTTTACCTATAGCAACAATATAAAGATATTTTGGAGAGTTTCTATAACTAATACAGCAAATAAAGTCTCCAAAAACATAAAAAATTAACATAAACCATAAATTTCGTATGACAGCTAAGACACATTATTTTTCGCGTGACTCTTAATTTTTGTTTTTATTTTCTCAATATAAAAATACTGATATTTTTTCACAAAACAATCTCCWTGTGCGTTTTGAATTTTTTTCCTACACAAGATTGTCCCACCGCGGTCACCGTAGTTGTTTCTGACGACACACTCGGATCTTGTCAAACATGGCAGCGAAGGGAGGAAAACAGAGCTGTTCAGGCTCCGGACCTTCATGTAGGAAAGGTGCCGGGGGACAGGAGGAGGAGGAGCAGCAGCCGCTCCAGGCTGTATTAGTTGCAGACAGCTTCAACCGGAGGTTTTTCCCGGTGACCAAAGATGAACCACGGGTAAGCAGCGAGCTAAGCTAACTACAAATGCTAATCGTTGCTAAGTGATGTTCAACATGCTGAAACATGCAGAGTTGCATCCAACTATGGAAGCTAGAGATGCCATACATTCGGTGCTTATTTATTTTATTCGTATATATTTGTTTAATTTAAAACTCATTATAAAAGTCTGTTTTCAAAGCAGACAGGAAACTGCTGACTTTTCTGTCATTGATGTCAGGCTTTACTGCCGCTGGGTAATGCTGCCATGATTGATTACACTTTGGAGTTCCTCACCTCTACTGGGGTGCAAGAAACATTTGTCTTCTGCTGCTGGATGGCCAGTAAAATCAAAGCCCACTTGCTGTGAGTTTTTTATTTTATTTATTTGTTTATTTTTACAATTTATGTTTCTGCTTTGCAAATTTCGCTCAAATGAAGACGTTAACTCGACTTTCCTTATGTCTGACAGGAACTCAAAGTGGTGCCGAGCCAGCTCTCCAAACACGGTCCACATCATCACCTCAGACCTGTACCGCTCGCTGGGAGATGTGCTCAGGGATGTGGATGCAAAATCCCTCGTGCGATCCGATTTTGTGTTGGTTTATGGAGATGTTGTGTCAAATGTTGATATCAGCCAGGCACTGCAGGAGCACAGGTACTAGATCCTCTCATCAGCCAGGCCAAACCTCTGGGCGTTTATTTTTAGGTTTGGAGCGTTTGCTGTGATGCAGTTCTTATTAGACCGTGTTTTTGTGCATCCCAGGCATCGGCGGAAGACGGAGAAGAACATCTCAGTGATGACCATGATCTTTAAGGAGTCGTCWCCGGGTCACAGGTCACGCTGTGAGGAAGATGATGTCGTTGTAGCTGTGGACAGTGGGAGCCAACGGATCTTACACTACCAGAAGACTCAAGGGCAGAAGAAGCTACAGTTTCCTATGGTAAGCAGGTGGCTCTTTTTTACTGGTAGTTTATATTCATTTTCAGTGACTGATAACAGCTACTCCTGTTGGTGTTTTGCAGAACATTTTTCACAGTGGGAGTGATGAGTTTGAAATCAGACATGACCTCCTAGACTGCCATATCAGTATCTGCTCACCACAGGTCAGCCCCATTGAAGATAAAGCAGCTATTAAAGTTACTGTTTTTAGCTACCTTTTAATTATTTATTTCCCCAGGTTGCTGAGCTCTTTACAGATAATTTTGACTACCAAACTAGGGATGACTTTGTCCGAGGGATATTAGTCAATGAAGAGGTACTGTGCAGCCATAGTGTTTTCTTTGAATAAATTGCGCATTTTATCAAAATACAAACAGCAGTTAGATGAGCTGCTATATTTCATTGTCTCTGTTAAGATCCTCGGCAATCAGATCCACATGCATGTCACCAAAGATGGCTACGGCGTCCAAGTATCCAACTTACTCATGTACGACTCTGTGTCGTCGGACCTTGTGCGGCGATGGTTCTATCCCATTACGCCCGAGTCCAACTTCACAGACCAGGAGGGGCGTAGCTGCACGTACTCTCGTCACAATGTGTACCGGGGTTCTGGAGTCAGCCTGGGACACGGCAGCCAGATGGAGGAGAACGTTCTCATCGGCTGCGACACCAGCATCGGTGCCAACTGCAGCATCTCTAACAGTGTCATCGGTGATAACTGCACCATTGGTGAGCTCACAGGCCAGCGAAATGCTGATAAGCAGCTTTGTGTCTGATAATGGGAGATTGAAGGCTCACACTGTAGAATTGTCCCAAAKCTTTTCTGTGTTTTCCTGCAACAGGTGACGGTGTAATCCTGGACCATGCCTACATCTGGAATAATGTTCACATCGCCAGTAATGTGGTGATCCGGCAGTCTGTGGTTTGTGACAAGGCTGAAGTCAAAGAGGGCGTGACCCTGAATAAACAGTGTGTTCTGGCATTTAACGTAAGAATAACACATTTAATGTAAGAATAACACATTTAACGTAAACAATAACACTTAATATAAGCAAAAACACTTTTAATATAAGCAAAAACAATTTTAATGTTAGAATAACACATTTAATGTTAGAATAACACATTTAACGTAAGAATAACACATTTAATGTATTCAATAACACATTTAACGTTAAAAATAACACTTAATATAAGCAAAAACACTTTTAATGTTAGAATAACACATTTAATGTTAGAATAACACATTTAATGTAAGAATGACACATTTAATGTATTCAATAACACATTTAATGTTAAAATGACACATTTAGTGTTATAATAACACATTTGATGTAAACAACACATTTAATGTAAACAACAACACTTTTACTTTTAGAATAACACATTTAATGTAAGACTAACACATTTAACGTAAACAATAACACTTAATAAAAGCAAAAACACTTTTAATATAAGCAAAAACAATTCTAATGTTAGAATAACACATTTAATGTTAGAATAACACATTTAATGTTAGAATAACACATTTGATGTAAACAATATCACATTTAATGTAAACATATTTAATGTAAACAATAACACTTTTAATGTTAGAAAAACACTTTTAATGTTAGAATAACACATTTAATGTAAACAATAACACGTTTAATGTAAACAATAACACTTTTAATGTTAGAATAACACATTTAATGNTTAGAATAACACATTTAATGTAAACAATAACACGTTTAATGTAAACAATAACACTTTTAATGTTAGAATAACACATTTAATGTAAACAATAACACATTTAATGTAAGTAATAGCACATTTAATTTAAGCAATAACACATTTAATGTAAACAGTAACACATTTAATATAAGCAATAACACTTTTAATGTTAGAATAACACTTTTAATGTTAGAATAACACATTAAATGTAAGCAATAACACATTTAATACAAGAAATAACACTTTTAATGTTAGAATAACACATTTAATGTAAGCAATAACACATGGCACTGTTGTGAGTTACTGTCTATAAATTATATGTTTGTTACTATTCCTTGGTTAAGTTATGCTATTGCAGAAACTTAACTTTATTTTAAATTCAGTCACATGAATTCCCTTCATGAAAAGTTTTTATGGTGAGAAAACATAGTTTTGGTATTTTGCTTCTTATATTATTTTCCCCACTAGAGAATAATTTTCAGCCATGGTACCAAAATATAATCAGGGTAAAATGTCCTGGGTGTTTAGGTTAGCTTGTGTAAATTAGTCTGAACTGTGTTTCAGGTGGTTATAGGACCGAACATGTCTCTACCAGAAGGAACTGTTGTGTCTATGCACCATCCAGATGAGGAAGAGGAAGATGATGATGAGTTTCTCAGCGATGATGCTGAGGTTGGTCAGAGGAAGGAGAAAACCAAACAGAAAGGTGTGTATCTGCTCTTGGTTGGATAATTTGTGTAATAATATTGTATGTTGTGACGCAAAACTGTGTTTTCTTCTTTTTCAGTTTTCAATCCAGCAGAGGTTGGAGCAGAAGGAAAAGGTTACATCTGGAAGGCCAGCAGTCTGGATGAGACTGAGGAAGAGGAGCTGTCACAGTGTCTCTGGGGTAGAAGAGCAGCTCTTCTCTGTTTGTAAAACCCACCATGAGCCCCATGCTCCTAACCCTTAACCTTATCAGTGTTTTCTTCCTGATTATAGGTTTGGTGCTGAACCCGGATCCTGACAGCGACAGTGAGGACAGTGAGCTTGATGGTCCTGATGATCCAGTGATCCCGTCCCCTGAGATGGACGATGTCAATGGTGAGGACTCCTGTGTGTGGAAGCGTAGGACTGCCCCCTGCTGGCCGAAGGGACGAAACTCAGAGACCAAAACCTGTGATCAGTTTGACTGAAGGAACACTCAAAATGTTGTTGTGCAGTCTTCCAGGTGGAGGTTCTCGGGACTCTGCAGAGAGGTTTGAAGGAGAACATCAGCTGCGATAATCTCGTGCTCGAGATCAATTCTCTAAAGTACGTTAATTGTCTGAGCTTCACGGTTATGCTGCTCCCTCTTTTGCATTGATGAATAATTATTTAGACACCTGGTCTTCCTCCAGGTACGCCTACAACATCAGTCTGAAGGAGGTGATGCAGATTCTGACTCGAGTGGTGTTGGAGTACCCTTTCCAGCTGCAGGGTTCAGCTCTRAGTGCTTCACAATATGTTGCTCTGCTCCTACCGGTGAATAACTCAGCTTTATTTCATGTGTACAGTTTTCTTATTTTCAACAATAAACATTTTAGTTTTTGTTTTRCTTAGTTATTGAAGAGGTGGGCCCCAGTTTTTAAGAACTATGTGAAGAGGGCTCAGGACCACCTGGACTGTCTGTCTGCCTTTGAGGAGCATTTTCTGGAGCAGGAGAGCCACTGGGCTGCGATGGCGGAGGTCAGGATGGATATCATAATTGTGTATAATTTTCTTTGTGTCTACCTGGCCTGGATGGAGTGAATACGTTGTGTGGTTTGTGCAACAGGTCTTGATGGACTTGTACCAGCAGGAGATCCTGGAGGAGGAGATGATTCTGCGCTGGTTCTCTCAGGAAGCCACAACAGACAAAAGCAGGCAGCTCCGGAAGAACCAGAGGGTAGGTTTAATGTCTCCACATCTAAACTTAAACATTTAAAGTGCCCGTGACATCAAAATTTTGTAATAAATGTGAATGCCTTTTTGGAAAGAGAACACTGATAACTTATTGCAAGTCAAATTTCACGCCATTGAGATGAACAGTTGTTGAGATATTTGCATGTGAAGAAACAGGAAGTGATGTCAAAGGGGGATGTCTGCATGTGAACAGAGCAATGCTACAATAATTAGAGAAGAATCTGATGTTTTTTTAGATTATTTTAAGTCACTATCAGAGTGGAAGACGAGTTTAAATAAGATTGTTTCAATAAACAAAGACTAGAGTTTCTTTTCTTAAAGAGTTCCCCTTTGATGTCACTTCCTGTTTCATTGTGGCTGGGCCAAATTCAAGAAAAAAATATGCCAGTTATGAGACAAAATGGGTAAAATCATGTGTATTATGTTAATTTTCTTAAATATAAATGTTTTCTTTGACTTTTTGTTTTTGAAGGATAAGCATGTCACAGGACCTTTAATTCTAATATTATGATCAGSTTCACTGCACCTTTCATTTGCTCCCTTCATCAAATATTTCAGTCATGCAGAATCGTTGACAGCCTTGTTTTCTTGTTTTTACACAACAGCTTCAGAAGTTCATCCAGTGGTTGGAGGAGGCCGAGGAGTCTTCAGAGGGAGAATAAAAAGGAAAGAATGTGTCCTCTGACTGGACAGAGTTCAATCTGTAACTATTTCAAAATAAACTGTTAATAAAGGGATTTAAGTTGTTTTGACCCTCCACAGCAGATTTCTGCCTCTAATATCAGGATCTGATCTGTTTCATCACACACTGCCTGGTCACGTCCAGCGCCTGTGCTCTCCAAATATGTTCAAATAAAGATCAGCTCTCCTGCCTGCGTAAACTGAAACATCAACACGTGGTTCGCTTTTTTCCCTTCTCACATTTGCTTCATTACGTGAAATGTTAAATCACCTTTAATTTTTGTATGTTCTGAACACTGAGGGTGCATGAAGCTCAGTGAAAAGCATCGACTAAAAGAGGTAAATTATCTGTTTAATGAATTATTGGTCCAGGTTTAGCAAAATTACTAACATTTTGTTTCCATGTCATACAGTTTCAGTGAAATCAGATAAACAGTAAAAATCTTTAAAACAAGTTCAGTTCACAGAAGACTTATTTTAAGTAAACAGATAAAATTAGATTTTTATAACAAGAATAACACTCTTTAAAAAGCAGAACTTGCAACAAACTATATAAATTTCACAAGTAATTTAAAGCAGGGTTGGACCCCTTACAGGGGAAAACTTTTTAGGGACCCCCTCAGAAACCTCGTGCTGAAACCTAAATGCCATGCGACTAATTGTTTTTGTATTCTTGGTTATATTTGTTTTACTGGTGCATTGTTCCCTATATGAATTTTTGCATTTCTTTTAAACAATAAACTAAATTAACAGTTTATTATAATTTTTTGAGGACCTCCAAAATACAGCTTGTGGGAGCTCTGGGACCCCAATTTGCGAACCTCTGCTTTTAAGTGACAACCAAAGCCACAAAAACKTTTTACTTTAAATTTGTGCAACTTGTGTCTTATTTTAATGTTTCTCATCCTCTATAAACTTAGTGAATTTGTTGAAGTACAGTGGCCCAGATGGACAAAATACTGCAAAGATTCCATCAAAACATTTCAGAAACCACGTCGTGTTTCCAGTTTTGATGTTCTCCGGTTGGCTTGAAATAAAGGTAGTCCACATTTATGTTTACATCACACACACACACACACACACAAACACGCACACACACACTTTGTTTCTCTATCCTTGGGAGGACTTTCCATTGACTTCCATTCATTTTACTGGTCATTTCTATAGCGCCTAACCCTGACTCTTTACCCTAAAACTAATCACCCCAGTGCATACCGGACCCTAAATCTAGCATAAACTTAATTCACTCATTAGTCCTCAAAACCCCCACCCCACCCAAAATCAGCCTCCAAACTCGGGTCTGGGCTTTGGTCCAGACAAGGCTCCAATTTCGTGAAAAATTGTCCCCGCCAAGTAGCAAAAACATGGCCACACAAACACACACATACTATGTCTCTATCCTTGTGGGGACTTTCCATTGACTTCCATTCATTTTTTTGAAATTTAAATACTAACCCTGACCATTTACCCTAAGGCTAACCTCACAGGTACCTACCTGACCCTAAAACTAACCTAAACTCAATTCACACCTTGGTCCTAAACCCAACCCCCAACCACCAATGGCATTTAAACTAAATGGGAACTCAACTTTTGTCCCCAAATGCACCAGTTGTCCCCAAAGGTAGGATTTTTGTCATAAAATTGCCCCCAAATGTCACCAAAGCCATAACCACGCACGCACGCACGCACGCACGCACGCACACACACACACACACACACACACACACACACACACACACACACACACACACACCAGGATCTCTAGTTCACACAAAATGTTTTGTTGTTTGCATAAAAATCATGACATTCATCCTCCTGCCTTTGATGCATCTTGTCCAAAAAAAAACAAGATGCTTCCAGTGAAACAAATCAAAATGATTGATTTATAATTGAATTATCTGCAGCAAAATCATTTAGTAGAAAGCTGAGGCACTGAGAGAAAATCCCAAATGTTGGCTTGTTTTTTCCCAACAAAGGACACAACCTCGGTGGATTTTAACCTGTAGAATCTCACCTACTTGGAACTCTTGTCCTGTTTTCCAGTAAAGTTGTAAATGACCCCAGCTACGAGAGAAGCTCCAGTGATCCCAGCTACAGCAGTCAGCATCTTCCACATGCTGGCTGTGGCTTCGTGTCGGTCCATGAAGCTCCTGTAGTCGCTGGGCACCAGGGTGAACTTGCGGCCGTCCTGCGGGGCCTGCAGCCTCACCACCCGGCTGCCCTCCAGCACTACCTCCCCAAACCCCGTCAGGCTGCTCCCCTCTCGCAGCATCTCCTCGCTCTCCACCATCCCCACAGGTTTCTCACCYCTCAGACCCTGCAACACCACATCCATCACTCCCTCTTCTGCGCTCCTCGTTCGGAAATAAACCCTCTCCAGGAAGCTCCCTGAGGCCTCCAGAGGGTTTTGGACTCTCACATAAACATCAGGCACGTAGGATCCAGGGCTGACCAGACTGAAGGGCACAGAGTTGTTGGTCTCTTTCTTGTTTACCGTGCGGGACTTCCTGAAATATGAAACTGGATTAACAGACTGGCACATAAGGAATCTGGYTGTATGTTTTTGAGTTGGATCTACCAGGTCTTGGTGACATAGTTAAAGAATTTCCATTCCTCCTCCACGGAAATCTTCTGGATCACACCAGAGCATCGAGGAACAAACTGACTGGTCAGAGGCTCACTGTCAGCATGAACGACACCTTAGAAAAACCGAAAGTGAAAGTCTTCCAGTGACTGAGTCCAGTTTGAAACAAAAATCTGATTATTAAACAGGTTTGTACCTTCAACAGCAACATACTGGAGCCTCTTGTGAGGAGTTGAGTTCAGTACTTTAACAAGGTGCTGATCTGGTCTGAAAATGGGTATTTTCTTTAAAAAAAAAAAAAAGACAGGAACAATTTAAATCTTCATAGACCTTTATCTGTTTGGAAAAATTGTTTGAAATAAACTTACCTTCAGCTTTTTTAACTCTTTCTTCTTTTCTTGGTATAGATGATAAAACAGGCCAGAGAAGGCAAAGCTGGACCCAATACCGATCAGAACCAGAGGGTTTACTGAAGAGTCGCTCATTTCTGGACCTGCCAAGTTAAACGGATTATGTTTACTGTAAGGAGGAAGGAACCTGACAATGTAGAAATAACGTGTTCTTAATTCATTTTTAAAAATGTAACATGACTACAAAAATAGATTTAAAAAACAATTAAACAATGCTTACTCATAAATACCTGGTTRGTTCACATTAAGCGAAACACAAGGTCAGTTGTTTTACCGCGATCATTCAATCCGGGGTTTCAGAGTTCCTGAAAATAAATTGCGCGTTTACACCGCTTTTTACGGTTCCCTTTGCAGCCGGAGGTTGTGACTTTGTGGTGCATTCAATTGTAAATGGTATTGTAAACGCCAAAATCAACACTGAAATAGCCTGTAATTCAGCAATAGAGGCTGAATTTCACAGCACAATTTTCACTGTAGACTTGTTCTAAAACTTATAAACAATAAAGGCTCATTTTCAAGGGACTTTACTGAGACATTTTATTTATTCACATTTTAACTGGGTTTAAGCAGCGCTGTATAAAGTACCACAAAGTGATACTTYAGTAAAAGTACAAGCATCATCAACATCTTAACTGTGTCATATAGAGGGAAAATTAGAAAATTATACACTAAAAAATGGTGCCACGGTGCTGAAGCTAGTCAGCTTCAAGTCTTAAAAATGTAAATATTCTAAACTACAGCAATATGGAATACTTGGGAAACATCAGTAGCTACAGCACAGATTCAAGGTGAGGGAAATAATATCACAGTCAAAGGAAGATATTACACATCAGCATAAAAACAAGTCAAAGTAAGTAAGAAAGTAAGAAAGAAAGTAAGAAAGAAAGTGAGCGAGTGAGCAAGTAAGTAAGTAAGTAAGTAAGTAAGTAAGTAAGTAAGTAAGTAAGTAAGTAAGTAAGTAAGTAAGT